GAGTTTAAGTCTTCCGCTATTTCCTTCTGTTGATATTATATTGAAATGTTAAGGTTTAGATTGGTTGGTTCGCTCACACAGGAGGGTAAGTGTGGGTGCCAGTCGCGGCCCGATTTTGGATCGTGACAAAAAAAAATATGTCATATAATAAAATTAAACCATAAAAATGGTGGAGGATTTTACTTAAACATATTATTATTTATTAAAAAGATATGTAACTTTTTTTTTACTTTTTATCTTATTTTTATATATTTATTTTAATTAATTTTTATCATAAACTCGTACCTCTTCATATTTCATAACCTCTATACTTAATTAACTTATTAGCAATACCTATAACCTCCAACTTTATACCTTCATAACCCTCACTTACTTAATGTTTAAATTTGTGACATCTTTAAAGTACATCAAAAAATATTTCTAACCAAATATATTTATGTTTAACTTTTATTTATGTTTAGCTTAATTGTCCTCTACTTTAATCTTGTAATGCAAAACCTATCCACAAAGATTACTTTGTTTAATTATTTTTACTTCTAATAAGAATGATACAAAATAAGATATATAACAAAGAATAATTGATTTGTATTTTTGCATGAAATTATAAGAGCAAGATCATTAATAAAAGTCAAACTAAAAACAATTCTTGAAAACATTAAAATGTATTTGTAGATACGCTTAACAGCGGGATATAATCAAAATTATTATGAAGTTATTTTAAAATTTTCAATAAAATATGAATAATAAAAAATATAATAATTCATTTTAAACAGTTTGCATAAATTAATAAAAAGCTAAAGACAAGATAACTTGATTATATTAAGATACTATGCTAATTGTTACTATTTTATAAAAATATAAATTCATAAAAATCTATATATTAATATAAAGTTGGATCTTCACCATGCTGATATGGCATACCTCAATGATTAGGAAGACTATTTATTTATTTTCTCAAATTTTGGAGGATTTTTTTTCCTTTTTTTCAGACATAAATTGATTTTAATTAGAAATTGTTTAATTTCCTCAATTTAAGGCTATAATAATTAATAGATTTTAAGTAATTAAATTTTACGAAAGAGAACGTATTAGTAGCTCTTAACCATTTCCTTAAATAATGGGTTTTAATTATTTAAATTTTGGGAAAGATAACGTTTAAAATTTTAATTTTTAATTTTGATTAATAACCCGTAAACGTCCATAAATTAAGGCTATAATAATTGGTGACAACATTACAATTTTGAATTATGAATTAATGCTTTTCAACCTCCAAAATATTAAGGTAGTATAAATTGGCACTTTACTATTTAACTTTTCATTAATATTTTCATTCTTTTTATAATTTTCTTTGGATTTGATTTGATAATTTGCTACTACTAATTTAATAGTTAATAGAAAAGATGTCTAACTTTACATTGTAATTTTTCATTAATCTTTTCATTCTCTTTATAAATTTCTTTGGATTTGATTTGATGATTTGCTAATATTATTTTAATAGTTAATGAAAAAACGTCTAACTTTATATCGTCTAATTTGGCATGAAGTTCAAAATGATTTGACAAGATCTTCCTATGGAAATTATATCAATTATAATGGAATATTGTGAAGGTGAGAACAACGTCAACTTTGGTTGTCACGCAAAGCTACATATTGTTTTTATAATTTATATATTTTTTGGTTTTCTATATTGTATTTGGTGTCTACATGAGAGTCTGATTATATATGAATTCACAACGAGTAAAGCTCCATCGGGAGAGAGTAATTCCTATTAAGGAGTTTTTTTGTACTCAAGATTCGACGAGACAATTGATTAAGATAGTAACAATCTCTTTCAATACACCTTATTTTTTCATGTTTGTTTATAAGGTTTTTTCACCGTGTGAATGTAACATTTTAGTTTGATGTGAAACATATGTTAATTCATTGCGTAGATTGTTTTTTCCCTCTACAAAAACATAATATTTTAGTATTGTAAAGGTAGCTAATTACTAAATTGTTGATATTGTAATGTCCATCATTTTTAAAAATGGTATCAAAACATCTCCATTAACTTTATGTAATGACCCATTTGATCGTTTTGAGTACTAGAATTTTTTATTTCATAAAAGATTCTTTTAAGATTTTAAATAGGTATTTTGGACTATTCGTAACTATAATTATAAAATTAAGGGGGACAGTTTAAATATTTATTTTGATTTGTGGATAAAAAAATAATATTATAATTAATAGTGAGTCACTTTTACTATTTTTATAATTACCCATATAATAATTAGTTTAGTAAATAATCCAGAGAAGAAAGAAAAAAAAAAGAGTCGCGCGATGGTCAAAAACAAATTCAATAAGTGCTTTAGGTGAGAAAAGTTTTTAAGCTTTCAATATAGATTTGTTGTTTATTTGATGGATCACAATATAAAATTAATATTTTGGTCCAAAAAGGGTTACACTAGAAAATTGGTTCCTGGGCATCATATGTTTATTGATTTACGTGGATTAAATCGTTATGTTATTGTTTGCCGTGATGATTATAGGGATAATAATAATAATAATAATATAATATTGAGGGAATGTTATTTGG